ACATATGCTAACAACGTCAAATAGAGCATGTGGGATTAAAGTTAGCAATGAAAGATATAACATTTTATGATATTCCAATTAAATATATGAAAGAAGTCTAAAAGTCTAAACCTGTCAAATTACCACATATAGCCGATGTACATTGTAACGACCCGATCGGTCGTTTTGCAATTACGGAGTCTGCTCCCTTAGCAAATGCGACTAAAATGTCGCAAACGCGAACTTATCAAGAATGTAATACACATCGCAATTGCGAGTGGGGGTATCGCAATTGCGATACCTGACCGTCACCTGTTCACTTTGCAATTGCGAGGCTGGTACTCACAATTGCAACCAGCACACCAGCAACCTGTTTAAGTTCAAAACCATTTCGAAACACGTCTGAAACTCACCCGAGCCCTCGGGGCTCCAAACCAAACATCCACACAAGTCTAAAAATATTATACAAACTTTCTCGCTCAAGCAAAATACAAAAATATTATCTAGAACTACGAATCGGACATCCAAACGCAGGAATTTCAAAGAAAAGTTCAAGAACCTCTAGAATTTCAACCAAGCGTCCGAATCCTATCAAATCAACTCCAAATGACATCGAATTTTGCAGACAAGTTCCAAATAGAAAAAGTGACCTATTCCAAGTCCCAATAACAAATTCCAAACCCGATAGCCAAAAAGTCAACCTATGATCAAACTTGAGAAAACTTCTAAACCTCAAATTGCGAACTTTTGGCAAAACAACACAAATCAATATACGGACCTCCGAATTTATTTATGGGCATATGCCCAAGTCTAAAATCATGATACAAACTGTCAGGATACAAAATCCATCTAGTCGTGATGGCACCTAACCCAACCTGCTAGGTAAGCCATGTAATAATCAACACAACTCAAACGAGAATAATAAAAGTAAATGAGAAAAATAACTGAAGTTCTATACATTCTCCCAAGGATTGATAGTACAAGTCATGAGCTTTTAAGACTTAGAATTTACAAAGCTTGTACGAACAAGATACATCATATGATCTAAATATACATAAGCAGATTTGCAAATCTAAAGCTACCAAGGAAAAGTGGCAGCTATAACCAGAACACAGGTTCATCTTCCATGCCAGCTCCCGCCATACACAGCAACATCAGCTCCAAAATTTGCACGCAAGGTGCAGAAGTGTAGTATGAGTACAACCGACCCCCATGTACTCTATAATTAACAAACCTAACCGCAATTTGAAAGCAGTGACGAGCTCGAAAGAAGGTTAGAGTCCAACACCAGTAGCCAATAACAACTCATAATAATATAATGCGAACAGTAAAAGTGAATAACTCAAGAGATATATGCTCAGCTCGTTCATAGTTACGAGGAAAGTAGGCATGCTTTTCAAGTATAACAGTCAATTCCAAATCTCACCACTGAAAATCAATTAAACGCGAGTTTATCAAAAGAACTGAATTCCCAATTCACAACACCAGATAAGAATTTCCGTTTACCAATCATCATAAGGAAAGTACATCTCTATGCCTACATGTCAATATACATGTCAAGTCCTCAATTATCATATACATCTAGTATGAGGAATATACATCTCTATGCCTACATGTCAAATATACATGTCAAATCATCATTGTCACATTACCGTCTAGCATGAGGAAAATACATCTCTATGCATATATGTCAAGTATGCATATCAAATGAATGATTTCACTGTGATATCCTTAGGTACTCTTCATCACACACACACACAATCACTCAGCACTGTACGGGTGCCTGGCGCCAATGCCCCTCACCAAAGCACGTGTATGTATATCATTGTTCTTGCGCTCACGCTGGTATGCCAAACTCCAGAGGGACGGATCTTACCCAAGCGCTAATAAAAAGCCAATAAGGTCTTCTGTGGCGTGCAGCCCGATCCACAATAATAATAAGAAAGCCAATATGTCCTGCTATGACGTGCAATCCGATCCACAACAACACTCTCAACACGGCTCTAAAGCCCACCTCAGTCATCAACCTCTTAAGTCTCAAGGGCTCACAATGTCATATCACTCAAACAACACCACATATGGAAAAACAATAATAACATGCGATGTAACAATGAATGATAAACAGAGACTGAGATGTGATATGAAGTTGAAGAATCATGACTAAGTGTATTACAGTTAAATCATATGAACCAAAACAACAGAGATAGCCTTATCAAGTCTTAACCACAAAGCCTAAATATGATTTCTAACATGAATCATAGCTCAATTAATCTAACAACTAGGAAAAACACGGATAAGATTAGAATGATAGCAATACATTAAAAAAGTGTCATGGCCCTAATTTCCCACCTTAGGATGTTATGATGGCACTTAGTCTCTACGACTAGGTAAGCCTATCAAGCATAGAGAGAGAGAGAGAGAGGAAATAATAATAAAACTTCAAATTTAAACCATCTAAGCTATCATAATAGAACTCAACAGTACAACCGACAATAAGTCCCAAAATCTGGTGGAACTGAGTCATAAGCTCTACGTCAATATACTGTAAAATCCCAAGTACAACACTGTCTAGATAAAGAGTAAATAGTAGCAAAATAAGGACAGAGGGTGACTTTGAGGCCTGTGAACGCCGGGCAGGTATACCTTGAAGTCTCAAACTGAATGATCCACTCATTGATTCCTAGCCTAAGTTGAGGTACCTGGATCTGCACAAAAATGTACACAAGAGTAGTATGAGTGCACCACAACGGTAACCAGTAAGTATCAAGCCAAAACTCGGTAGAGTAGTGATGAGGCCAGGTAAAGACACCTACTAGGATAAGAAAAATTGAACAGTATAATATAGTCTAATAATGAAAATGAGGAAATAGTGGCAATAAAGCAATACAACAAGGTAAGCTATAATTGAATTAAAAGAAATAGAGGCAACAAGGAAGGAACACATAATAAGGACGTCAAGAAAATAATGCGTACAAATACAAGTGGTAAATGAGATATAACAACAAGAATCACAACTGAGGTACCGCCTCGTAACCTCATTTCACAATCACAATCACAATCTTTCCTTATACCGCGCGTGAGCCTTACATTTAGATAGTTTTGGAAACATTTTTCCCGAAATAGCTACACACACATTAGCCCACCTTATGTCGCCTCGTGGCTTCAAGTAATTTCCTTACTAGAAACAACAACATACCCAGTAAAACTCCACTACTGGGGTCTGGAGAGGGTAGGATGTACGCAGACCTTACCCCTACCCCGGAAGGGTAGAGAAGCTGTTTCCGGGAGACCCTCGGCTCAACAGAAGAGATAATAATTTCATAAAAGAAACGAAAGAATAGATTTGTAACAACAAAAAAAGCAAGAGAAGTAATAATAATATCTTAAAATACACCAAATAAGTGAAAGGGAGTGCAATAATATAATCATATGCAAAATAACAAAATAGTGTGAACACAACATAGACCACTACCAGACATAGGCAAAACTCTATCAGACTACCCGGTACAAAGAGGGAAAAACTATGAACTACCCCCTAGCCTACAACCCTAATGCTCGACCTCCACGCTTTCCTATCAAGAGCAATGTCCTCAAAAATCTGGAGTCGCGCCATGTCTTGCCCGATCACCTCGCCCCAATTCTTCTTAGGCCGCCCTCTACATCTTCTCGTACCTGCCAAAGCCAACTGCTCGCACCTCCTAACCGGGGAATCTATGGTTCTCCTCCGCACGTGTCCAAACCACCTAAGCCTCGCTTCCCGCATCTTGTCATCCACCGGAGCAACGTCCACCTTCTCCCTAATATCTTCATTCCTTATCTTATCCAGTTTAGTATGCCCGCACATCCATCTCAACATCCTCATCTAGAAACACGCACATAAATCCACTTATGCCGTCACATGCACATTAACCCCTATTCTCATACCGCCGCATGCGCATCAACATCACAACACAATAACAACTCGCACCACAAGTGTCCATATGCCATAACTTGTTAAAAGAATCATCAATACCAATGTTTTCACAACATATAGCCCATGGTTCAACCAGAATATGAATAAGAATCTCAATAATAAAAAAACAAAAGTGAATAGCTCAACAAGAAAGATATATTAACAATAAACAACTTTGCCTCAATGTGATAATGACTTATATAATTTCTACACCAATAACTCAACACGAAGATATTCTGTGAATTAACAACTTCAAGTAAGTAATTTAACAATTAAAGAAGTAACAGACAACAAGGAAGGAAATAACGTCGACCTAAGCATATAAGAGCAAAATAACAAGTAACAGGTGGAACAAGTATTAACAATGTCAAATAAAGCATGTAAGGATAGATTTTCACATGTAAGGGTAGGCTAACAATGAAAGGTATAACATGTTATGACAATTCGAGTAAGGGCATGAAAAGAGTCTAAATAGGGGTAGTTCCTCCATAACACATTAGGCAAGATACTTTCCTCAAACAAGCCAATTCAATCCCCTAATAAGCCTTTCTCGCGAATATCGAACTCCGGACGGTTCGAATCTAGGCAAAATAACTTAATACCATAAATACAAACCATAGAAAATTATTTCGTATAATAAAGTTTCAATCTTTAGAAGAAATTCAAAAAGTCAACTCAAATTATCCGACCAAACTTACAAAATCCGAATACATATTTGCCTAGGTATTCCGCACCTGCAGCCTCATTGTCGCATCTGCGACTCTGCTTTTGCGGCTAAACTTCCGCACCTGCAGATTCTACTTAGGCACCTGACCAAGCGCACCTGCGGCTAAGATAACGCACCTGCGGGACCGCTTCTGGTGTCCTACCTTCGCTCCTGCGAGTCCACTTCTGCAGAGAGTCCACATCACCCGAGGTCGCACGCTAAAATCCAAATTCCGCATCTGCGGAGCCATTCCCGCTTATGTGGTTACACATCTACGCGTCTTCATCCGCACCTGTGGAACCTATGCACCAGGACACTTCTCGTTTCTACGGCTCTGAGACCGCTTTTGCGGTGCCGCACCTGCTACCAATAATGCGCAAGTGCAATTGCACCAAAACTCAGTAGGCCTCCAAAATCCATCAACTCTCCAATGAGTCCGAACTCACCCCGAATCACATCCTGGGCCCCGGGATCCTGTACGAACATACCATCAAGTCCCAAAACACATAGCAAACCTATTTTAGGCCTAAAATCACATCAAAGAACAATAAATCTATGAATCGTACCCCATATAAAGTCTATTGAATCCATGAGCATTCAACTTCCAAAACTAACGCCAAATCATATCAAACCATCTCCGAATGAGTTTAAATTTTGCACACAAGTCATAAATGATATAACAAACCTATTCCAAACTCTGGAACAAAAATTTGACCCCGATATTGACAAAGTCAACTCTCGGTCAAACCTCTCAACTTTCCAACTTTCGCGAATTCAAGTCAAAACGACCTACGGACCTCCAAATCAATATCCGGACATTGTCCTAAGTCCAAAATCATCATACGGAGCTATTAGAACCATCGAAACTCCATTCTGGAGTTGTCTACACAAAAGACAAGCTCCGATCAACCCTTTCAACTTAAGCTTCCAACTTTGGGACTAAGTGTCCCTTTTTGCTCCGAAATTCACTCAAAACCAAACCAACTAGCCCGGCAATCACATAACTACAGTTTAACATTGGGAATATTTCTTGTTGTTTCATTCTATATTGTCCTAGCAGTTGTTCTCCGTTCATGATCATTGTAGCCCTTTAGTTGCTTCTTTTATTCTATTTCCATTGTTGATTTTTGATACTAGTTCATGCTATTATCTTGGTTTCGTATCAATTGTTTCTTCACTTTCCGTTAACACATCCGTATTACATTTTCATACTGTTTATTTATATCCTAGTAGGTGTCTTGACCTGGACTCTTCACTACTCTACTGAGGTTAGGCTTGATACTTATTGGGTACCATTGTGGTGTACTCATACTACGCTTCTGCACATTTTTGTGCAGATCCAGGTACGTCTGCTCGTGCCGGTCGTTAGAGATTACCTGCTAGCTGCCTTTATCGGAGACTTCAAGGTATGCCTGTTCGGTGTCCGCATGACTCGGAGTCACCTTCCCTTATTCTAATTTATTGTTGTAGTTTCTTTTGGACAGTGATGTAGTAGTTACTCTAGATACTCTATAGAGCTTATGACTCGGTTCCACTGGTTTTGGGGAGCGCTATTGAGATTATGTTTCTTACCGAAAGGTTTTATCAGTTATTCGGCTTTATTTCTAGCATTTTGATAATTGTTCTGTCAAGTTATTACTATTTGTTAGGCTTACCTAGTCGTAGAGACTAGGTTCCATCACGACATCTTACGGAGGGAAATTAGGATCGTGACACAATAGCGATAGTCAATGCAGTCTTGAGCTTTTGAAAGCTCAAGTCACACTCGTCGAACCATCTAAAAAGAACACCATTCTAGGTCAACTTGGTCAATGGGGTTGAGATAGATGAAAACCCTTCCACGAACCGGCGATAGTAGCCCGCCAAACCCAAGAAGCTTTGAATCTCTGTAGCCGAAGTAGGCCTAGGCCAATTCTGAACTGCCTCAATCTTCTTAGGATCCACCTTAATGTCCTCAGAAGATATAACATGGCCCAAAAAGGCAACCGAGTCCAACCAGAACTCACACTTTGAAAACTTGGCATATAACTGACGATCCCTCAGAGTCGGAAGTACGATCCGCAGATGCTGCTCATGCTCCTCCCGAGTACAGGCGTAAACCACAGATATCATCAATGAAGACAATCAAAGGAATCCAGATAGGGCTTGAACACCTGGTTCATCAAATCAATAAAGGTTGCTAGGCTTTACTCAAGCCAAATGACAACACTAAGAACTCGTAGTGGCCATACCAAGTCCGAAAAGTTGTCTTAGGGACATTTGATTCCCTAATCTTTAGCTATTGGTAGCCAAACCTCAAATCAATCTTCGAAAACACTTAGGCACCCTAAGCTAGTCAAATAAGTCATCAATCCTTGAAAACAGATACTTATTATTGATAGTGACTTTGTTCAGTTGCCTGTAGTCAATACAGATCCTCATAGAGCTATCTTTCTTCTTCACGAACAACACCAGTGCACCCCAAGGAGAGACACTAGGTCTAATGAATCCCTTATCAAACAAATCTTGCAACACCTCCTTTAATTATTTCAACTCAGCTGGGCCGTACGATGTGGTGGAATGGAAATGGGCTGGGTATCCGGAACCAAGTCAATGCAGAAATCGATATCTTTGTCGGATGGAATGCCCGACAAGTCTGTAGCAAAAACCTCTAGGAACTCATGCACAACTGGAACCGAATCCATGGAAAGAACCTCCGCACTAGAATCATAGATATAGACCATATACAGCAAACACCACTTTTCAATCATACATCGAGCCTTCACATATGAAATGACCCTGCTAGTGGAATGACTAGGAGTCCCTCTCCACTCCAATCGAGGCAACCTGACATGGCTAACATCACAGTCTTAGCGTGACAATCCATAATAGCATGACAGGGCGATAATCGATCCATTCTCAATATCACATCAAAGTCCATCATATCAAGTCACAGAAGGCTAAACCTAGTCTCGTAATCTCCAATAGTAACCTAACAAGCACAATAGACCCGTTCAACCATAATAGAATCCTCAACAGGCGTAGATACATAAACAGGAGCACTCAAAGAATCACGAGATATATCCAAATATGAAGATAAATAGGATGACACATACAAATAAATAGAGCCTAGATCAAATAAAATTGATGTATCCCTATGGAAAATCGGGACGATACCTATGATAACCGCATTAGATGACTCTGCCTCAGATCTAGCTGGAAATGCATAACAACGGGGTTGAGCCCGACCAATCTGACCTCTGCCTTTCGAACAGCCTTTAACTTGCTAGCCTTACCTCTAACGGCCTAACTGCCACCTTAGGCTAATTGACCCCTGCCTCTAGGTAGATGAGCGGGTGGTGGAGAAATAGGTGTCAAAATCATGGCATGAGTTCCTACTTTGGTCTGCTGGTCCTCAATCTTGGACAATACCTCCTGATATGACCTGCATCGCCACACTCAAAGCAACCTCGAGGCTGGCATAATTGTTGAGTCTGAGATGATCCCTGATGAACCGAATGACCATCGTAGTACCTCTGCAGTGCACTAATAAGAGGTGAAGGTGTGTTGAACACTAGCTGCTCAGGATGAGACCCATAAAAACCACGACCGTCCGAAGCACCGTGTTCTACTTGAAGCGCTGACTGTATTGGCCTAGGAGGATGGCCTCTACCAAATGAAACCCTGCCTCCAAACAAGGCACCAGTGCAACCACCAAAATAATGAGGCCTCTTTCAGATGCCGCATCTCTGCCCTGACCACGAATACTCTTGATCCGTCTAGCAATCTCTACAACCCGAGTGAAAGAAATATCATATGCACTCTCTCTAGCCATCTGCAACCTGATATCATAAGGCCATCAATAAATCTCCTCACCCTCTCCCTCTCAGTAAGGATCAAGACAACTGCATGGAGAGATATATCCACAAATCTGGTCACATACTGGGTAACAGTCATGCTACCCTACTAGAGGTGCTCAAACTAGCTGCGGAAGCCCTCTCTCCGAGTAAAAGGGATGAACTTCTCCAAGAATAGCTGTGAGAACTGATCCCAAGTGAGTGGAGGTGAACCTGCTGGTCTGCCTCAAACATAGTCCTTCCACCATATCTTGCCAAAACCGTGCATCTGAAACACTATGATATTGACTCTATTGGACTCCACAATACCCATATTGCACAACACCTCATGGCAACATTCTAAGAGATCATGTGGGTCCTCAGAAGGTTTACTACCAAAATGAATAGGGAAGAGATAGGTGAACTTATCCAGCCTCTTCAACCCCTCGGACGACATTGCGAGTCACTCCCTGCGTTATTTAGTAATGACAAGTTGAACTGCTCAAACTACTGGAACTACCAGAGTCTAATATCTATGAGCCATCTGTTTTGATGTGTGAGTAGCGGGAGTCTGGGCTCCTCCCCCAGCATGAGAGATAGTTGGTGCTATAAGAAATGTACCAACCTGGGCCACGTTCCCCGTAAGACAGATTAGACGGACTAGAGCATCCTAAAGTACGGGGGTAGCAATATACCCCACTAGGACCTAAGTTGGTCCAACTGGAACGGCTCGAAAAAGGATCTCCTCCTCCTGCTCAACCTGAGGCTCTGTGAAAGGTGATGCGGTACGGGCTCTAGGCTGAGCTCTGCCTCTGCCTCTGGCTTGACCTCAGACCCGGCCCCTACCCCTATTAATTGCTGCAACCTAGGGCTCCAGCTCTTGCTTAGCTATGGATGTTGTGCGTGTCATCACCGTATGTGAGAGAACTAGAATAGAATGGTTCAAACTTCAGTAATATAATAAAGTCGCACGATAGAGAATGAAAGAGGTGAAATTTTCTAAAGCCCTATATCCTCTAGAAGATAAGTACATGTCTTCGTACTGATCCTCCACACTCTACTAAGATTTCTCATGACTCGTGAGACCTAGGCAACCTATTGCTCTGAGACCAACTTGTCACGACCTGGAATCCCAACCACGGGGCTGTGATGGCGCCTAACATCTACTCGCTAGGCAAGCCGATGTCAACCATAGAATTATTTTTTTAGCAATTTAAAATTGAATAATAACAACTAACGATTGGTAAAATCTGAAACACATATGATATATCCCTACATAACCGCAGTCTATACTAATCCTAGAAATTCGTAGTCACAAGTACATGAGCGATTAGAATATTACAAATATGGTCTAAATGAAATACATTTGTTTGAAACAAAAAAAAAACAGTAAAAATAAGGTAGAAGGGGACTTCAGGGAGTGCAAACTCCATCAGCTCTACCTCAAGTCTCCTGGGCAAGTCGGTTCCGAGCGAACTCCCCTATGCACCACTGGGACCAACACTAGGATATGCATAAGAAGTGTAGTAGTGTATTATGAGTACAACCAACCCTATTTAATTTGTAAGTGTTGATCTTAACCTCGACAAAGTAGTGATGAGGCTATGACAGGACACTCACTATAAACCTGTAGGAATAATACTAATAACAGAAAAATAGAAATAAAGATAAAATAGTAAACTCATAAGTACGGGACCCCTTCATATCATAGTACAGAAGTAGAGCACTACCACTGCCAACAATTATAACACATCATACTCCGCTGCAGTGCGCAACCCGATCCCACATGAATGCAATATCTATTGCGGCGTGCAACCCCATCCTAATATCATATCAATATCTGTAGTGGCTTGCAACCCGTTCCCATTATCAATTCATTCCAATATTGTTGTAGCGCGCAATCCGTTTCCAATATCAACTCATTAACATGAACAACTCAACAACACCCAATTCTGTAATCTCAGCACAAAGGAAATAAAGCGTATAGAACTTCAAGGAATTATCAATACAAACAGAGAATAGCCAATACCTCATATTCACAAACCAACATTTCAAGAATAGATAAAGGACTCACATAATCGGAATAGCATAATGAAGTGCAACAAATAATGTAAAGACTATAAAACAAGTAAAAACATGAGACGATAAAGATATACAATTAATAGAGGTAGGAACATATAGAAGGTAAGCAGGTATTGAGTGAGGAATGAATAAATAAAAACAAGTAACATCTAAATGACAGATAACAAGTAGGGCATGGATGACAAGTAAGGACATGTAGAAAATAAAGCATGTAACGAAATATAACATGGAATAAATAACGACGTGAAGGTAAATAGCCGAACCCACATGCTTTAACCTATGACAGCGCATATACACTTGTCACCTTTCATATATGTTATTCCCACACATAATTCATGTAATAAATAGACTAACAAATCCTAATTCCCTCAAATCAAAGTTAGACATAACACCTACCTTTTTCCACAACCAAATCAACAATTAAATCAGAGCTTTTCCTTTCGCTCAAGCCTCTAAACCAACAAAACATAGCCAAACAACGTTCAAACAATTCAAAATAAGCTTTAGAAACTATCCAAGAATGAAAAAGATTCAATCTTTAATGAAATTGGAAAAGGTCAAGAAAAGTCAATCCGGGGCACGCTTGATCAAATTTGAGATTCGGACCAAAACTCGATTATCCATTCACCCCGAGCTCGGTTATGTGATTCGTTTTGAAATCCGACCTCAATTTGAGGTCTAATCTCGTTTTTACAAAATCTCTATATTCTATCCAAAACCCCTAATTTCTACCATAAAATTTATATATTTAAGGTTAAAACCAATGGGTGATTATGAAAATACATCAAAACTAGTTAAAAAGTACTAACCAATAAAATAGGGATGAAAAATCTCTTCAAAATGCTCTCTAGTCCGAGCTCTAGGTTTCAAATATGGTGTAGATTCACAAAATCCCGACTTAGAATTTTTATTTAACTGAGCGTCACGTTTTCTTCGCGTTCGCCAAGCACCTACCACGTTCGCGAATCACACAGACCCTTTGTCCTTTGCGTTGTTGAAGTCCCCATCGCGTTTGCGGAGGCTTATTCCCAACCAAGCCTATGCGTTTGTGACCAGTGGGTCGCGTTCGCAATGAAGGACACCACCAGCCTTCCGTTCATCCCAAAGCTACGCGTTCGTGAAGGGTCTGACGCGTTCGTAAAGGGTAATCCCCCAATACTTTGCGTTCACGACCTAGCTCTCGTGTTCGTAAAGAGTAACCAGCCCCCAGCCCCA